ATAGATAGATAGATAGATAGATAGATGATGATTTTGTTTGCATCTCTCTTAGGAACAATGATAGGTTTAGAGCATTGCCAAGATAATTCAGGGCCAACCATAACAGGAATTGCAATAAAAATAAAATAGAAAAACACATGTTATCATTCAAATAATTATACAAACTGAGGTGGAAAATATGCTGTGGCTTGGGGATTGATGTTTCATTTTTCAAACCTGGTTCTGTAACACAATAGGGTGATGGTTTAGAGCCAGGGATTATGTTGCCCCCACCCCAACAGTTGGCAAGGTCTGGAGATATTTTTGGTTGTCATAAAATGTAGGTGACTAGTGAATAGATCCCAGGGATGCTATTAAACACCCTGCAGTGCACAGGAAAGCCCCCATAACACATATGAACAATGCAGAGGATGAAAAACCCTGGCATACGGTATGGCTACTTACCTCAGGAAGTAAAAGGAAAGTCTTAATAAAACACAACCAGAATAAAATCCAATTTAATTTATTATTCAGTAAAATGGTAAAAGATGGACAATTTGGGGAAAGAAAGGGAGAGGCAGGTTTTGGAAAAGGAAAAGGTGGATAAAAGGAGGATGATTAATATGCAGTGCACTGGTTATAGGCTCTGAGAAGCTCTGAGGTCCAATAAACAGAATTTAGCAGATGGAGAAAGACTGAATGGTGTAACAGGCTATGGAAAGTGATCTTCCCTCACTCTTACAGAACTACATCATGCCCTAGGATTTCCTTCACCAGAGTGGGAAAATGGTTACAAGAGAAATATATTAGATCTCTCGGCAATAATAGAGGGTTAACCTAGAGTAAGACCAATGACTCTTCAGCTTCCCTAGTCTGCACACACTGTTTCTTGCCTGGTCCTTCTAAGTAACAGCAACAGAAGAGACTGTCAAAGACCTAGACCTAGATATCAATGGGTAAATAACAAGGTAGTATGCTCATTGAAAATTAGATCAATTATTCTGCATTCAATGAATTCTCCTATTCCTTGAGAAAATCTTAGCAGGACCATGAGATTTTTCAGTCTCTCCAGAGCTGCTGTAGAGGTAGACTGAGGGTGGAATTATTAAAATCTACCTGCATGCTCATGAATGTGCTAAAAGGGTTGAAAAGACCCACGTGTGCACAAGAGTAATTTTTTTATCCCGGGAATCAAACTCAGGACCCTGTACTTATGAGGCAGGTACCACTGAGCTAAATCCCTGGCCCTCAAGAGTAATTTTTTTTTTTTTTTAGTTTTTTGAGACAGGGTCTCACTATGTAGTTGAGACTGACCTAGAACTCACTACGTAGTCCAGGATGGTCTCGAACTCACAGTGATCCTCCTGGCTCAGCCTCCAGAGTGCTGGGATTACAGGTGTGCGCCACCATGCCTGGCTCAGTAGAGTAATTCTTTTAAGTCCTCTGTGGGAAAATGAGGGAATTAAACAGCTTCACTTAAGAAGATGAGTGAACTATGAGAAGCACGAACAGATCAGCTAATGTATGCTGAAACATACATGCATACACACACACGATTATCGTCTCCTCCAGTGTAACAGCAGCTCGTACTGCCTTTCCTGTGTCCACTGCAGAATAAGGAGGTACCACACCCCATTTGGGAGCCCTTGGCTCTAACAGCTGGACAACAACTTACAAGAAACTGCTCATTTCACTTGGACAGACTACATCTCACTTCTTTTCAGGCACAAATGTACCACATACACATTAGCTACTTCTTTAAGAATGAATGGCTGCAAGAAAAAATATGAGAAATGGAAAAAAATGGAAAAAAGTCTTTATAAATAGGAAAGGGTGGAAGGGGTGAAAGGAGGGCAATGGTATGGGGAAAAAATAAGAACCAAGATACGTCATGTAAAGGTACAAGATCCCAATGATGAATATATAACTGTACTGTATACCTAAAATATACTAATAAACATAATTTTAAAAAATGAATGGCTGCACACTGGGGAGGTAGCTCAGCAGCACCACACTTGGTGGCAAGGTCCTGAGTTCAATCCCCAGTAGCAGAAAAAATAAAATAAAAATAAAAGAATGAATAGCTGACTCCTCCCACTTATCTTCAGTTCTAGATGCAGCAAATGCTGCCAGGACCCTGCCCATCTCCCCTGGTACTTGTCATTCTGCCCACACAGACTGAGCCTTACCTCCAGCCCTTGCAAGTCTGTCTGAGGCCATCCTCAAGCCACAAAGTAAGGGCGGCACTGTGCATGGCAAGCACAGGTGTCCGGGAATGCTGCTCCCAGGACGGCCAAGCCAGGAGAGAGAGAAGTGCAGGAGCAAATGCCCCAGCTTCCTTGCCTCCAGGAGAGGACCACGCGAGCCACTTCCCCTACTGCTGCCCACAGTCCCCAGCACAGACCAGGGCTCCACAGCTGTCCTCTGCTCACCAAAAGGCCTTCCTGTTGCCTCCTTTACCGACCCTGGCTCAGCTCTCACCAGCGCTTCTTGGGTTTGGCTCCCAGTCAAACCACTTGCGCACAAACCAGATCCTCTTCTCGGGGGTGTTTCTAGAGAGATCCAAGCTGAGACACAGTCAGGGCAGCAAGGGACCTTCTGCTAAGGGACACGTGCCCTGGGGTGGCAGCTAAGGGGCAGCATTTGGATCATGCTCACGATCACACAGCAGCCTCTGAAGTGGCTCTCTGACCTGCCCCACCCCAGACTGGCAGGCTTCAAGGCAACAAAGTGCACAGAAGGTAAAATGTGACTTATTTATGCAGTTCTTCTACTTAGCCCACATTCAGGCCCCGGAAATTAAGAGAGAGAGGGAGGGAAGGATGCTTAAAGGAAAAGAAACTAGACTATTTCCAAGCCCCTCGAGGTGCTCCAGAAGTGTCCATTGGCCAACAGAGACAGTCATGATAGTAAAAAGCCATTCTGGTCTGATCCCGAATGAGGCGGGTCTTGATGAAGAATCTCATGGCCCAGGAGCTTTCAGTCCGACTGGATGTAATGAGTGTACTGCCTTATGGAACAATCACAGTCACCTTTGGTTAAAAAACACTCTCATTTTAAAATGGTCTGTAATTCTGGAGTTTCACCAGTTTATCTTGGATTCTTCTCATCACTGACACCTAATTAGGGATATCGTATAATCACTTTATCTAGACGAAAATATTAGCTTTGGGTTTTTTCCCTAGTCGTGCTGCTGGGGATTGAACTCAGGATCCTTAAACTCAGCCGTTGCCACTGATTCTACTTTTAATTTCGACACAGACTTTCTTTAGCATCTAAGTTGGGATCCAAGTTGCCATCCTCCTGCCTCAGGGTCCCAGAGTGCCGAAGTTGTAGGGTGGTGAGCAGGTTTTGAGTCTTTGAAACACCTGTCCGAAATGCCTGGCAGATTTCAAGACGCGAAAGGTACTGGAATACAATGCCCCATAAATAATCAAAGACTCAGTGGTACCGCGCCAAATCCACCAGTAGGACCACTGGTATAGTGTACGGGTCAATCACTGAAAATTTAGCGTCATCACCTGGAATAGTCGTCCTTCTCTCTCTCAGATGCACATCAACATTTTAGGAAAAGTGGGTGAGTGCCTCTACCGCCCTGATCTGTGATTCATAGAAAACAGTGATCCAACAGAGTGTCTTCAAACTATATTAAATGCCCTCCCCCGCCTTTTTTGTTGACACGGGTGATGGAACTCAGGTCCTGCACTTGGGAGGCAGGCACGGTGCCACTGAGCTAAATCCCTGGCCCTGCCCTCTGTTTAATACATAGAGAAACGCAAGGTAAGTGGTTATGTGTAAGAAGGTGATGTTATTGAAAGTAGAGGGAGACTATTAGGCCCTATGAAGGAGATTGGGGGCAGGAGGAGGGGCGATGCAAGTATGTTATATGCGTGCACCAATATGCCAGAATGGAATCCAATATTCAGGCATAACTCCGTCGCACTGATGGTTTGCTTGTTTGCTTGTTTGTTTGTTTTTTAAAGAGGACAACGACAAGCGTACGTGACACGAAAACCCTTAGGCAGATGCTCACTGGAGAACATGAAAACTCCTGATGCTTGCACCAAATATGTGTCATCTCCACGGATGTAAGCGATACCAACTCTGTGTCATGCAGGCGTGCTGAATGGGGGCTGCTACCGAAGCAGCCCTAAGGTGGGGACGAGAGATTCTCAAGGGAGCAATTCTTTGACTCTCGCACTCAGACCAGCCGCGAGCTTCCAGGAGGTTGCTGGCAATGGCCTTCCCGCAAAACTGGTTGAATCTTGAAAGTGTCTCAGCGTACACCCTGTTTTCATGGGTTACCGGTGCTTGCACGTGCACGGTTTGAAAGTTCCACGTAAAAGAGACGCGCACGCGTCCGGTGGGCGCAGGGCACCAGACCGGAAGTGGAGGCAGAGGCCTGGTGCACTCACGTGGTCACCGCGCGGCACGAGCCTGAAGCTGGGCACGTGGGCGGGGGAGAGTACGCAGTGCGCATGTGCAGCAACCAAAATCCCGGAGGTCACGTCGTCGACGTCGGCCTCCTCCTGTAGTCGTCGTCCACGGCACTGACTCTGACTCGCGTGAGTGAGTGAGGCCCTTCCCGCTGACAGGTACGGAATTTTCAGAATTTTGTACAGTGCTTCCTTGGGGCTGAGGGCGGGTGTCTCGGGCAGCACAGTGGTGTAAGGCTGCTTGTTCTCGGGCCGGGGTGGTAGAGATTTGCGGGGCCACTTGTAGGAGTACAGAGGTGCTTTCCGCCTGGCGTGACGCGGGCTCCACCGCTGTTCTCTTCTCGCAGGGCCTGGGTACGTCACGATGCAGCGAGGGTTAGAGCAAGCCCTTGACCGTGCAGAGGAGGTCATTGCGAGGGCCCGGCAGAGACCCCCGGAAAGGAGAGCCCCTTCGGGCGAGGAGAAGTCTCTCCATGAAAAGCTTTATGACATTTATGTGGAAGAATGTGGCAGAGAGCCCGAGGACCCCGAGGAACTCACAACCAGCTCCAACCTGCTAGAGAAGCTGGTTAGCAGAGAGTCGTTGCCGTGCCTAGTGTTCAGCCTGTACCCCGGAGATAAGGGCTATTCTGTGATGCTGGATGACAAAAGTGGGTCCTTTTCAGAGACCATTTCGCTGCCCTATGGAGAAAGTAAACTGTTGGAGTACTTGGATGCACAACAGTTACCTCCTGTTCTGCTCGACCTCCTGAGCACCTCTCAGATGAACCTTTTCCACAGTGGCTGCGTCATAGCAGAAATCCGAGACTACAGGCAGTGTGGGGGCCTGGACTCTCCTGTGTACAAAAGTAGGCATATTCTCTTACGTCCGACGATGCAGACCTTAGTGTGTGATGTAGAGGCCATCGCAAGTGACAACCCTCCATGGACACAGCAAGACAAGCTCACCCTTGAGAGCCAACTGATCCTGGCTACAGCAGAACCACTGTGTCTGGACCCTTCTGTGGCAGTAGCCTGCACTGCCGACAGACTGCTGTTTAATATGCAGACGATGAATGCTGCACCAATGGTACAGTCCTTCAAGAGGCATTCCTGGCCTTCCGTGAGCCTACAGGAGGAGTCATTTTCATCTACTTCTCACCCTGACTCTAGAGTACTAACTGCTTGCGAAAAAAGAAAAGAAAAGAAATCTAGTCAAGAAGAGGACCTGAAGATCACAACACAGAACTATGTAGACAAATGGAAACAGAGACCCTGTGACCTGAACTTGCCTTCTGAAATTGATGTGGACAAATATGCCACAGGAAACCAACCTGGTAATGCATCACCAACATTCTGCTCATCTCCTGTGATAGAAAATGACTTTGTATTTGACTATGAAGCTGAGAGTCACCTATGGGAAACAAAGCGAGACATCCTGATGTCCAATAATGATCCACTTTGGTGTGATATCGTAGATCCACCAAATTATCCCCTACTCAAGAGGCTGAGACAGGCCCCACACGCCTCCACAGGTGACCAATCAGGCGGTCTCCAGCCTAAATCAAAGACTGATGCTGGAATGGAAGTCAGCACATGCCAGGCATCTGTCAAGAGCACAGCTGAATATGCAGGCGAGATGGCATCAGGCCCCAGTATCTCAGCCAGTGTCAGTCAACCCTCTCCACAGGCAAAGCCAAGACAGCCTATGACCTCAGTGTCATCAGAGCCTTCAGTATCCGGAAATGCAGTCAATTCAGGAGCTCCATGGGTCACATCTACCTCCACCTCAGGACAGAGTTTTTCAGGTCAAGATCCCGCCGCACGACGAGCCTACAGCTCCCGGAAGCTCCCTCCTCTTGCTCCTGCTCCCAAGCCACGCAAAGTTTCTCAGAAGTGTCCTGTGTATATCAAAGGAGATAGCTCACTTCCTCCTCAGGCCCAGCCCTCTGCAAGCCATTCACAAAACACAGCGGTGACCAAGAACCGAACCAGCTCCACTAGCCTGAAGATCATCCATGTGGTGGGCCCAGCACGGGGAAGCCAGGGTTTGGTGAGTGCTTCACATTCCGTGCTGAGCAGTCCCACTGATGCCCCAGGTGCTAGGGTAACCCAGCCCAGTGGCCTTCAGCCCTCAGAAAGGCAGCGCCCCAATTCAGGGTTAAGTGGGACACAGCCACCCTCTCAGCCAGGTATGCAAATCACTTTACATAACCCTTCTGGTCTCATGCCCTTAACTATACTCCAACTTTCACCTGGTTCCATCATTTTGAGCACCCAGCCCCAGCCCCAGGCTCAGACACAGACACAGATCCAGCAGCTGCAACTGCAACTCCTTCCCCAAGCCCATCCCCCACCCCCACAGCATCCTCAGGTGTTTCAGCTGATTCCACAACAACAGCTTCAGCAACCCACAACTTCTGTTCCACCACAGCATGGCCCACAGGCTTCTGCCAAACGTCCAAGCAGTCGGCAGCGGACCTTGCCAGCTCAGCAAAATGTTGTGATCAACCTTTCTGGAGAAGGGCATTTTCAGAAACCCCAGGCAGCTGTGTTAGGTCAGCGTGGCTCTGGCCAGCAAAGACCTAGGCAGAGCCCTACTCCTCAGGGATTCCAGGCCCCTCCTGCTCTGCAGCAACAGGTGCAGGCACATGGGCAGGTGCAGAGTCACCAGGTGAAATACTGGCAGTGTCCAGTGTCTGTGGCGACAAGAAGCACTCAGACCATTAGCATCCCCCAACATGACCACACAGCCCACCAAGACAAAGATAGCACCAACAAAGACCTGCCACCCACCCCAAAGTCCTGAATCTTAGTTTAGTTTTCCTGTTTTTAAAAAAATTCAGGCATAAAAAAATTCAAACATAGACATAAATAAGATTCAAGTGTTTGATGTGTCACTATTTTACATTTTAAAGCATAAACTTTATATCACAGCACAGTTCCATAATTTTTACATAGAAACAGGGAATGCATTTAATAAACCATGATGGTCTTGCTGAAGTTATTCCTTTTGCTGTTGCTGACATACTTTTGCTGTATCATTTTAATGTGTGCTCAAACCCAAACTACGTTCATTTTAAACTCTTGAAACATATAATTTCTCTGTACAATAAAACAACAATAAGAATAAACATCTGGTTAATGTTTGAGCAAGATGAGCTAGTTTTAAGATTTTGATTATAAAATATAACACAAAATTGACTCTCTTCACCATTTTAAGGGCACCATTCAGTAGTATTCAGCCCTTTCTCACGGTTGTGCAGCACAGCTGTAGGAGTTTTGCGTCTTACAGATCCCATCTCTGCACCCGTTAGACACCAGCTCCCCATTTCCTGTCCCTCGGCCCCTGGCAGCCTGCATTCATTCTGCCTCCTGTCTCCATGAATTTGAGAATGCTGGGCAGGTCACAGAATGAAATCCTGACAGTGCTCATCATGTGGAGATGGGTTTATGTCACTTAGCGTGATGTCCTCGGGGTTCATCCCACGTGACAGGAAAATGATCGCTTTTTAGAAACTAGTTTTCCTGTAGAGTACATACCTATGAGCTGGGGAACCATGTTTGAGGACAACATAGTTGGTATGCATGTGTCCCCTTTGAAAGGTTTGTGTGCAAGGTATGAATTGTAATTACTTACTACACACCTAGTTTGAAAAAGCAAAAGAATCCACAAGAAATGAAGGTCACACTGAGGTTGAGTACACCAGAGACACGCACACCTGTGGGGTGCATTTGTTAGCAGATGTGCCAGTGTGACAGTCCCCGGACCTTCCTGGGTCTCCCCTGCACTCATTGCTCTCCCTCCCCGACCCCAGAGCACATCTGTCCTCCTCCAGACCCTGTGGTTGGCCTGGAAAAGGCTCTTCTCTGATGCCCTGTCCCCCTCTTTATAAAGCCACTTACCTCTTTTTAGAACAGTAGGTTAGAGCAGGGCATGGTGACTCGTGTCTGTAATCCCAGTCCTCACAAATTTGGGCCCAGCATGGGCACCCTAACAGTGTAGCAAGACCCTGCCCGAAATAGGGAATTAAAAAGGGCTGGAGATGTAACTCAGGGCAGAGGTGCTGGGTCCAACCTCAAGCAGAACACCACCAAAACAAAACAACCTAGGTTAATTTCAAAAAGGCAAAAGAAACATTTGGTGACCTGTTTTCATTTGTTTTTCTAATGCCTGTAGCCTTGTTAGATTAAGTGGAATCTCCTCCTCCTTTTTCTTCCCATGCCTTTCCCTTTGTTTCTTCATCAGTTGTTCAGCAGTCCCTGCTGCTTCGTCTCCACTTTTCTTTTTTTCTTGTTTCAGTGGGACTCAAAGACACGTGAACTTTTCTGGCCTCTTTTTCACTTTTTCCTTGTTAAAAATTGAGGTATAATTCATGCCAGAAGCATTTAACCATTTTCAGGTACCGTTCTCTGACATTTAGCACATTCTCAATATTGTGCAGCCACCAGCTCTATGTGTTTCCCTAACATTTTCAGCTCTACAGAAAAAATCCCTGGACCCATTAGGCACTCAGCAGTGCTCCTGTCTACCACCTGCCTCTGGCAACCACTGATTTTTCTCTGTCTCCAGGAACTGCACTGTTCTCGGTATTTCCTAGCGATGAAGTTATACCATAGTGCAGTCTGAGTCTGGGCTCTTTCTTTCATTTGGCATAATGTTTTCAAGGTTCATTAATGTTTTAATATATGTTAGTGCTTAATTCCTTTTGCCGCAGTAATATTTCATTGTCTCTCTATAGCATAACTTTGTTTACCCATTCTTCCATTCTTTAACAGTTGGGTTATTTCCACCACTTGGCTATTGTGAACAATGCCGTTATTCATGTATTATTTTAGTATCTCTTATATTTTTGTTCTGTTACAACTTTGCGTGGCAATGTGTCTACATAAAATATCCTTTTCTGTGTAAACATGTATGTTTCTCTGCTTTTTGCCCTAACAAGGAAATTTGCTCTGGTAGTTCTGAAAGAGATTAGTTAAGGATTAGGCAGCCAATGAGTTTGACTGTAATAGCCTGTATATTCTAATGTCTACCAATGCTGCTCAAGAACAACTCAGCCAACTTTTAGAAAACATGTCACATTTGCCATTTGAGTGACAGTGAAGCTGTGAAGAGCATCCTGGATATCCTTGAGAATGGTGCCTGCATTTTAAAGAAGGAAACCTGTCCCATGAGCAGTTATAAAGAAGAATGTATGCTAGGCCTTATCCAAGCAGAGATTTGACATGCACAGCATTGCCCTATTTAATGTGTTTCCTCCTTATTTGATCCTTTCAAGTGCTAGATAACAGAATTTGTGCTTGAGTGATGTGGCTCTCCCTTCTGGCCAGGCAAATAAATTTATTTCAGATTACCATTTGTGAGACTTTATTCATTGCCTTCCAGTGATCTTTAGCAGAGTTGATAATCTGATGCTACCGCCATAGTGATGAAGAACAAAGTGTTCTGGCCTTGAAATATAATCCCAAAGAATGCATTTATTTTTTTAAACTATGTAAGGGGGATTTTTCACAAAGCTCATACTGTTTCAGGGCCTAGGTGAGATGGAAGAGAGGCAGACACCAAAGAAACGTAAAAATGCCACTTTAGAATCTAGAGATCTTATTCAAACTTCATCTAATTTTATCCTTCAGCAATTTAAGCCAGATTTGCAATATGAATCTCAGTAAAAGGTGAATGTTACCTATATAAGGTTGAGTGCACAATAGAAAGCACCAGAAATAGAAAAAGAATCGATATTTTAGGGGCTTCTCATTTTACCATGAGTCAGAGGTCAGGACACAGATCATGGAAATAAGATTACAAGGCGAAAGCATTGCCCAACCTGAAATTTGTACTTATTTGTAAGTTTAAGAAACTATCATTTCATCTTAGATTTCTGTTTGGGGAGAAATGCCCAGCCCTACTAAGAAACCCTTATTTTTTTTTTCCAAAGTAACAGAAGTATTTTAGTTTCCTTACTGCACAGTTGCTCTTTGGGGTCCCATTCCTATTTCTTCCACCTCCCAACAACAGCATTATAGTTATTTTTGTCTTTGTTGCATTCTGGCTCCCCAAAATGTCACTGTGCAACATGTTAGAGAAAGCTGAGTTTATTCTTGTTGGTGAGGGAGAGTAATGTCTTGACAGAGTCTTAATAATGTTTCAGGTAAAATCTAATAAAATATTCCATCATCTCCAGGATTTCAATATTTTATCTGCAAGGGAAAAAAATGTACTCAGATGCTTTACTTGTGTTTGAAAAACACCAGTGTTGTAAAATATACCCCCCTGCCCTTGTTCTCACTACATGCTAGATACTGGCCCAGTAACCTCACGTGCTTTCACTTAACCTTTGCAAGAATCGCGTACAACTAAAGAAGAGGAAATGAAGAGGTAGGAGCCTAAGTAATTTGCTCAAGGTCACCCAGCTGTAAAGGGTCAGAGCCCAGATTTGGACCCAAGCTTCCTGGGGTCAGACACTGTGTTCTTTCCTACACCTCCCTCTTCACTGCTTCACTGAGGATGAGACGCAGGCCTGTCCCCGTGGGCTCACCAAATGGCTGCGGAGACTCCATGTCTAATAGAGAAAATAATGGTCTGTCACTTAACTATGCATTAGAGTTTGAGGGGAGCTAGTAAGTGACATCTCTGCCATATTTTGAAACCAGCTGAAATAGAGATTCAGCAGTCAAACAGCTGGACATACATTTTTTCCTTTATAAGCAATCACATACTCAATGACAACATAGTTTAGATCTGTTTTCTTAATACTGCATCTTGGTACTAGAAAGACTCTTTCACAGGGAGGGCAGGAAAACTGCAGATACCACCTAAGGGTCTGGCCTTCCCAGTGCAAAGAATTGGCTACAGTCAAGGCTACAATTTTACTTTAATGAAGAGCTTCTTAACCCCAGGCCAATAGGCCTGTTGGGCATTTGGTGGGATCTTTCTCAAAATAATTTTTTTTAGGTGCTGGAGTTTGAACCCAGGGCCTTCCCACTGAGCTACATCCCCTGACCACCTCACATTTTATTATTTTTTTAATTTTGATACATTCAAACCACAGCTTTGAATGTCTGGATATAGACTAGATACAAGTACATGAGTCTGCCTCTGCTGACTATGAAGTTGCTAAATTGCCTGGGCTGGGCTTGAATTTTCATTCCTCCTGCATCAGCCTCCCAGAGTACTGGGATTATAAGTGTGTGCCAGCACTCCCGGTTCAAGGTAATGTTTTAACTACATAAAATAAAATAATTGCATTACAAAGGAAGCTAGTTACACTCACAAAACTAAAAGTATGAGTAAATACATTTATGATGATTACAAAATGCAGGTATGTTTTAACTACATAAAATAAAATAATTGCATTACAAAGGAAGCTAGTTACACTCACAAACCTAAAAGTATGAGTAAATACATTTATGATGATTAAAAAATGCAGGTTTTTAACATAAAATTTCACTCCATAACCAAGGCTAGCCTTGAACTTGTGGTTCTTCTGCCTCAGCCTCCCAAGTGCTGGGATTACGGCATGCCTCACCACTCTTGGCTCTAAAAATATGTGTGCTTCTTTATGAATGCGTTAAGTAATAAGATTTGGCAGTGGGACTAATTAATAACTAGTTTAACCTCAAAAGTATGAGTAAATATGGGCTGGGGATTTAGTTCAGTGTTTCTGGCCCCAAGGACCCGAGTTTGATCCCCAGTACCAAAAAAAAAAAGTATGAGTAAATACATTTATGATAAGAATACATGTTGAGTGTGGTGGCACATACCTATAATCCCAGCACTTGGGAGGCTGAGGCAGGAAGATCATCATGAGTTCAAGGCCAGCCTGGACTACATAGTGAGTTCAGAGCCAGCCTGAACTACAAAGCAAGACCCTGTCTCAAAAAAAATAAAAATAAAAAATATATACTTCAGTGGGGCTGATAACTAGCCTAATTTTGAAGTAGTGATTGGCATAAATGATATTTTGAGATATCTGCAGCAAGTGAAATGTCACACGAAAACATCTGCAATTGCTATTCACCACAAATTCATAGATAGTGTTAATACTACTGTGGTTTGGTGTATATATTCATACCTTTAGGAAATACTACATTTTAGTTAGAGGTCAGAGAATATGAGGTAACATTTATTTCCATATTAAGTTCATGGGTCCCCTGGAAGTGTTCCTGAACCCTAGAACTGTTGTTCTAATGAAAGCTCCTTCCGGGGAAACAGAAGTAAAAGGTTGTAAGCATCACTCACTCCCAACAGTACATGTGTAAGAGCAAGCATACAGGTGATGATGAAGTTGGCTCAGATTTGTACATAGAGGCAAAATTAGTGAATTGCTACCACAACAGCTTAGAAAGGAGTTGCTTACAAGGCATATATTAGCCAATTAATCCTCAGCATACTCTCGGTTGGTGTGGGTAATTCCATTTTCAAATAAGGAAATGGAGACATCAGTATAATTTGTCCAAGGCCATACATTCTAGTTAATAGAAGGGCCAGGATTTGAATCTAGGTTGTCTGGCTCCAGAATTCATTGTCAACTACTAAACTGAAGCTTATAGAGTGTTGGTGTAGGGAAAAACTAGGGCTAAGATAACATTTATAAAGTTGTCTCCATAGAAAAATATTTTGAAAAGGCCTCCATAGATTAAGGCTACCTCAATATAGAGATCAGGGGCCACGGAACACTCCACAAGTTGCCTGTTATCCATCCTACTGAAATAAGCAGAATTATCCCAAATGACCTCATCCTGGGTTGCTTGGAACCCAAGTCAGCTGGGACTGGAGTGGGGTAAGGAACTGAGCTA